GGCCCCGGCGGTAACGGGCTCCTCTCCGCAGGCATCGTCGCCGTCTTTGAGTCCCACCGGACGAAAGGCATCCCTGACATGTACAGCCTGCACAGCTGGTGTGGGATGGCCGCCTTCGTGCTTTACCTCCTGCAGGTGAGGGCTGGGGATCCCCTGGGCCCCCGTGGGGGAAGGAACCCCGCAGTGTCCTGTAACATCCCCGCACCCCTGCAGTGGCTCCTGGGCTGCGGTTTCTTCCTGCTCCCCGGTGCCTCCTCCTCGCTGCGTGGGCGGTACAAACCCCAGCACGTGTTCTTCGGCATCGCCCTCTTTGCCCTCTCCATTGCCGCCTGCTTGCTGGGTATCACCGAGATGCTCCTCTTCAACATCAAGTGAGTGACCGAGCTGGGGTGGTGGTAGCCCCCAGACCCCACCGACCCCCAGCAAAGGGCTGCTCCAGCCCCATGGGGCAGAGGCTGTCGTCCCCTGATCAGGATGTGGCTCCATGGCTATTATATCTCCCCTGGAGGCCTTTAGTTCTGCTGCTGCTGAGTCACTTCCCAGAGGATGTTTAACAAGGGCTGGATCCTGCAACAGCTTTCTTTGGGGGTGGGGATAAAATATCCACCCTCGCCTCCCTGCAGTCAGGTGCTTTCAGAACACCCCCCCACCCCCTCCCGGGGCGGTCACATCCCCGAGGGCTCTGCCCTGGCAGCTGGAGGACACGGTGATGGCTCCAGCTGCACATTGGGGTGTCCCCGTCCCCCTCCAGCCCCAGCACCATGGGGACACGGCTATGGGGCACCCCAGGAGCCACCTCCCTCTGACTGGGGGAGCACATCTGGCAGGGGATTGCCTATAGCCCTGCTATCGGACTGTACCCCCAGTTGTCACCAGGAGTGTCTCCCCAAAGTGAGCAGCACCCAGGCAGGGGTATCACCTCTTGCTCTGACTTGGGGGGAAGGGACCTTTCCCAGGATGTGTGCCTGGAGGATGAGGATGAGGAGGAAGGGTCCCAGCCAGGGTAGGGACAGGCCACCCAACACCCCAAGGCTTGAGCATCTCCCTCCGCCCCCGCAGGGATTCCTACAGGCACTTTGTGCCCGAGGGTGTCTTGGCCAACACCCTGGGGGTGCTGCTGTTGGCCTTTGGGCTGGTGGTGGGCTACGTGCTGACACGGGACGACTGGAAGCGCCCGCCGTTTTTCTTGGCCAGGGATTACAATACCCTGGCAGAGGGTGAGCCCCCCGATGGCGGCAGCCAGTGATGCCCCCAGCTCCCCGGTCCCCGGCACAGGCACCTCGTGGTGTCTGTAGGATGTCCCCATGTACCCCGTCTTGGGGCTCTGCCTGGCTTGGGGTGACGAGGACAGCTGGGGAAGGACATGCTTGTTGGTGTAATGCTGCCCATTGGGTTCAGCCTCGCTTGGGCTTAATCCTCTGCTCTGCCCCATGCAGCCCCCAGTGACCCCCCGAGCCTGTCCCCAGCCCTGTGGGGCCGCGCTGCTGCAGGCACAGGGGCAGGGGCTGGCAGCATCGCCGGGGCAGGAGGGACAGGGGGCCCTGGGCTCTGTTCTGGGCATCGGGGTGGGAGCGAGCGGCTGAAGCCCAAAGCCCATTCTGATGCCAATGGGCTGAGGGGATGTTTGCCATCATCCAAATTTCCCACTTGCTGCCCCTCAAAGGGCTCCCTGGGGGCTCAGAGTAACCCAGTGTCTGTGCAGGTTCAGCCTCTTTGTGTCCAAAAACATTTTCCCCTCTCGTGCGATGTGTTGTCTGCTCAGTGGATGCTCCTGACCTAATAAATGTTTGCAGCTAACCCCATCCTCCTCCAGCTCATGGTTTTAGGGTACCCCTGAGCTCCCACACACCGTGGGCAGCTGAGAAGGGCTGGGGAGGGCAGGGTGGGTATTTGGGATGGGATTGTCCCGTGCGGGCTCCATGCCATGCACCCGGTGCTGGAGAGCTCGGTAGTGGCTTCGTGATGGACCCCACGGCGACGTGTCTCCAGGGCCTGGCCACGCACCAGACGTGCCCATGGAGCGGGGGAGACCCACTGCCATGAGGTGCATTCCCGATTTGGGCTCATCTCCTCTGCTGAAACCAACCCCTCTTCCTCCTGGGTTTTGGCAAGGCAGCTGCACGGGCGAAGCTGCCGGAAACCTGAAGCTCCTGATCCCAGTGCTGCAAAGCAAGCGCAGCCCCAGCAAAGACACAAGCCCAAGCCAGGGGTTTTTGCTCACCACAACCCCCATGTGCTCTGTCCTTCCAGCGCTGCACATCCAGCCCGGCGGCTGCAGGCAGGGATGCTCGTAGCTGCGAGAGGTGTTCAGCTGCAAAACCGAGCCCCGGGTCTGGGCGGACGCTCTGGTTCTCGGGAGCTGCAGGGCTCCAGCGTCCACAACGCCGAGCTGTGCTTTCCACAATTTAACCCAGGCAACGCCGGTGCAGTTCCCTCCCCTATTTCATCAATGCCCCTTCGCTAATGGCAGCAGCAGTGCTGCCTCCGTCCCCTCCTGCTCCCGGCGGTGCCACGTCCCCACACAGCGACAGCCAGACCCGACCCCCACGCCATCCTGACGTTCCCAGGTATTTCCATGCCAAGAAGCCATGGCATGCTCCTTTGCTCATCGCAGTGTGAGAAAAACACCAGGCCAGACGCCATTTCCAAGTGTTAACCATTTATAAATAAGTACATTTTTTCATACATACAGTTTTCATTGTACAGATTACAATCTGTATACATTGGCGGGGGGGGAAGCATTCTTTTGAACTTTTCACATCTATCTCACAGCTCACATGTACAGACAAGAAAACTCTGCTCAAGCAAATACAGCAAAGGAAAAAATATGTTTTCTTCTTTCCTTATACATGAGAGGCAAAGGCCTCTGCTGTCGGCAGGGGCTGCTCTTCCCACTGCACAATATCACAACTGTGTGGTGTTCAATATATCGGTAGAGAGAACAGAACATGCATTGAATAATATACTGTACAGAGAAAGTCCTTTACATCGGAATTATAGAAAAGCTAAAGGAAAATTTAAGTGTCTTAAAGATCTTCCCAGCAAGTGTCTCAGAGGATGGCAACCAGGGAATTGTACAAAGCACAAGGTGTGTGTACTGTACGTGTTTGTACCAAGCTCAGATCCTCTTGGATGTGAAGACAGAAGGGAGACGAGACGCTGAATGCAACACTATGGGAAAGAAAAGGCTGGACAGGGATGACACCGGCAGTACTGGCAGAGTCCACGTGAGTCTCTGGGTGGAACAACAAAAAGGACTTTACGTAGCGCACAGTGCTGCTCCCAGTGTCTGGCTTATCAGTGCACAGCGAGGCAGACCCACGGTGAAGTGACCCAGTTCCCTGGGCGTGAGGTTTTCCCACCCACCCAGCACGACCCCAACCCGCTGGAGGAGACGACCTGCAGCCCCAGCGGCGTCCCCGGGCAGCGTCGCCCAGAAGGGACAAAGTCTTTTGGAAAAGCAGCCCTCTGTTTTCGCGACTATAGGATGCGATCCCATCGGATGGGACCCGGCTGCTGACTCCTCAGTACTGTGACAGCTAGAAAATGAGCAGGAGGAATGGATACAGCAGATGGGTTTGGTGTCCATTGGTTTTCCCAGTGACAGTCGCACTAGCTGTATTTTCTCTTGGGTAGGTCTGTAACAGTTGCGGTGAGATCCAGCTGTATAGTCAGGAGTTGGACACGAATGCATCTTGCTAAAGAATTGAGCCCTTAGTGGTTTATATTAGAAAAAAGAGTTTGATTGAATGAAAATCCAGCAATTATTCACACAAATCTGAAAAAATCCACACGTTAACTTTCAACCATTGTGCTTTGTGTCCAACACGCACCCCACCAGACTTTGCGTAGAGCAACTGGCACGGGGTGAAGGCATTTATCCGCAGAGGTCCCAGCGGGTACAACAGCTCTTCCCCTAAGCCCTTGGTTAAACACTTAATCCCGGTAGAAGAGTTACCTTGAATTCCCAAGACTAAAGCAAAGTACAACCACCAAAGAGCTCGCGACAGCTCACCGCAGACCCACCTTTGCAAGGAAGGCGGAGGACGAGCAGGCACGCCGGCTTGCTTGTTTCTCTAGATAAGGCGGAGCTGGCACTTCGGTTTTAGCTAGACTTCTTCTGGGTAACCCTGAATATACAGCAGCCTTTACACAAGGGGACTGAATCGCTCCAAATTTAATAGCCACCCTGGTTCCAGACCTAATCCAAGTATGGCTTAGGTGTTTGTCATACGCACACACAAATGTTCACACTAGCCAAGCAGTTTTCTTTACAGCCAGGTTAAAGAAAAAAAAAAAACCCAAAAGTTCAGTGCTCGGACGGACCCACCTGCAGGCACTGGTGCCAGGCGGCAGACAGACAGACATACGCATGCCTCGGTTTGTCGGGAGCCGGCCAGCCTGTGCCCTCCCAAGCAGCGGCACAGAGAAGGTGGCTCAGGCTGCGCAGCGCTTTCGCCTTTGGGGACGGATCCCAAGGGATCTGTCTTTGTAAAACCTTCCCTTTCGTAAGCACTGATGACTACTTTCAAAGCCCTCCAATGCCATTCCCAGCCTGGCTGGTGGGGACCCCTGCAGAGCCCCCCACCAGGCGGGTGTCCCCTCCCCTGGGACTGGAGCATCCTCCCAGCCTGGGAGACAAAGCAAGAGCCGGTGAATCCCCACCAGGGACGTGTCAGACACCCACACCCGAAGCTGGGAGAAAAGATTTCGGCTTTACGGTGGCACACCCAGCTCTTGGAGCGGCCGCAGGCAGAGGACGAGAGGCACCTGGTGGGAAGGTCAGCCGAACACAGGGCTCGGCCTCAGCGTCGCCTACCCAACGCGCCCCAAGAACCAAACCTGGACGTTTCAATGTCATCGAGAACCTGGTTTACTTGGTGCCCCCAAGAATCCTACTCGCTCGCAAGATGGGGGCTCGTCAGCGGTGCCGCTGCAGCTGGGGAGAGGATGGAGGTGCCGGCTGGCAGCATTGTCCCACATCTTAATTACTCAAAGAGTAATTAAACACATGGCATGGACGGACAACACAACACCGTGTCTGAAAATCTGCGCATGCTCCCGCAATGTGGCCCGGGCTTGTCAGCTCCGGGTCTAAGATGACAGCGTGAAGGGACGTCAGGTGAAGCTGAGCCTGGCGCTCCACCCAGCCACGCGTACCGCAGCGCGCCCCTCAGCAGGACCACGCACGACAGCACGATACGGAACGGCCTCTGCTTTCCGTCCACGCCAAATCTGAATTGTGACTTTGAGGACATGGGGGACTGTGTAAAGAACAGCTTTTCCTCGGAGAGGCGTGCTCCTCACCCACCTGGGAACCACAGCAGCCTCCTGCCTCAACTGTCCCTAAGAGAACTGCTGGGGAAGCGCTTTAAAACCACTGCAAATCATTTTGTATTTAAAAATTAATCAATCTGTTGATGCTTATATACAAGAGTCAGTTCTTGTGCTATAAATGTTATGATTCATTGCTTTGTTTTTTGTATTTTTTTTTTAAAAATACACTAAGAGACAAGAGCTGTTTTGCTATTTTCTAATGAAGACACTACTCACGCTTAAATATCCAGTATTTATCATAGTAACAAATTCAAACAATAAAGTGCACCCATTTACAGAGAGAACAGATGGAAAACCATTAGTGCAAGAATCCTGTGAAAAATGTAACATGTGGTATTGTGAAAAAACCTGCACGCCGCAGTATTTAAGCCTTCTTTCAGCTTGGTGTTTGTGTTAAAAGTGTGAGCTGTTTTCTTTTTCCCTTAAAACATCTTCATAAACCCAAAAGTTATACACAGAAGTGCTGTGAGGGGACGTTTCGGAAGGACTGGGAGCCCATGGCAGCGAATAGCGAAAGCAAAGCAGGGGCAGTTCTCCCATCGCTGCCCTCGGACCATCCCGTTTGCATCTCAGCGGAGAGAACCGGCTCACGGCCGTAGCGCATCTCGCTCGGCCATACAAAACAGGGACGGGGCTGAATTTGGTTACTTTTTCCTTTCAAAGAAGCAACTAAAGGCAGGAAGCCACTCACTCGTTCAGGAAAGCTGGAGGATGGGAGGCGCTGGGGAAAGCGACTGGTGCTGCTCCAGGCCCACGGACAAGCACGTACCAGCTATAGGTCACTCTACGCGGAGAAGAACTGTGTTCCTTACGAAGCAGAACACGCTGCTTCAAAAAAAGAGAGGAAGAAAAAAAAAAATCATTACACCTCCTCTGCAAGGAGAGAAATAGTGCACGGAGCTGAGTGTC